AAAGAAGAAAAAGACCTATTAAACAAAGAATCAGAACCATTAAGGGCTTATTTAAGAAAGCATATTATGCCAGTATTAGCAAAAGGATTAACTGAATGTGTTCGTAAACGTCCAGATGATCCGCTGGATTTTCTAGTAAGTATTTATTAAATGGAATTAATGGTATTTAAATTTGATATATTTTTAATGTACAAGCATTGTCATAATAGGATATTTTACTTGACCCTACAATTAACCTTAAAAAACTACGAAAATTTAGTCAGAATAAGTTTAGTACTCCCTAGAATACTTTATTTAACTCATAATATATTGTAAGTTAAGGACTAGATAACACTTCATCATGTGTGTTGTTACAAAATACCCTCATGAAATTTAGTGGTCGACAGGAAGTCCTGGACCTAGGATTCGTGCCATTCAGTACTTGTCAGTAAAAGGTTCCTGCAATCTTGAAGGGACTGGTATTTTCTTCGCGGACCCAATCCTGTCATCTAGCTTCACAGTCTGATGTATTACCATTGAGTTGTTTCCGTCACAGCTGACCGCCTGCAGAGCTACGATAAAAGGGACTAAGCAAACACAATATTGACCACTATGCAGTAATCCATTAATTGCAAATATCAATCCTACAGTAGGTCCATCGCGACTTGAACAGCTCACTGGCAAGGTTTCAGACTGTGAAGCTGGGTGAAACAATGCGAAATATTTCAGGGTGTATCAGTTCCATTAATATTACAAGTACATCTTGCTAAGAAGTGCTAAATAGTGCAAAACCTAGATCCAGAGTTTTTTTATCTACTTCCACCTACAATATTTTATATTACATTAACATCAGCAAAATAAGAACTTTGGAAAAAAATGTATAGAACACATATGAAGTCCCGTGTTCAATTTAATCAAGCATAATATTATCAAGTTTATATCAAACTAAAAAAGTTTCTGCATTCGTTAACTGTTGTCATTGGAATTCTTTGGTGATTATTCAAAATGTCTACAGAATAGCGTAAATTATAATTGGACAACATTAACCAAGTGCGACAATCAACGACAAAACCTTTGACGGATGCAGATTCATTTCAGTTGCTAGTAGTTAGTATTAACCGTACCAATGAAAAAACAAACATTTACATATGATGCCCTATATATGATTGATAGCATGAGTAGATTAACAGAGGAATAACAAAAACGAGCGAAATTCGCCTAAACTTGAAACAGTGGGATTAGATACTTTTTACGTAGTAGCAATATTTTGGTTTTTTTCAGAACTATTAAATTTTGATTGTATATGTAAGACAGGTTAGGACTTCTTTTAAAAGATCATACAAATGATTAGTATAATTATCAAGGCCTGAATTTATAATTTCAAGTAAATTAAGCATTAGGTATTTTGAATGTCTTTAATTTGGTCAATTCCTGGACCAAATTAAAGACATTTAAATCAACAACGACGAACTGATGATATCTTTCGACGTAACAGCACTACTCACCTCAATTGAACCAAAATTAAGCACTAGGTATTTCTATGCTACAAATGATTTCTACACAAACATTCTCAGTAATACTCGTACCATTATCTCAGCTTTGTCCACGACTGGAATTCCTTCTAAATACCCAATTAAGTTTAATCAGCTGTAACTAAGATCGTCTGACGGGGTATTAAAATTACAACTAGGGAGGTTTTGTTTTGAAGTTTTATGACTGGAATTACCTTTTATAATGAACTTTAATCCCCAAACAGTAAAACATTACAATACTTAGATGCTAATCTGTTGTCTCATGGCCTACTGTAGCATTTTGACTAGGTTAGCGCCGTTTTCTTCCAGACTTAATTTTTCCCATGTTTTCGATGTGAAGAACAGTTTGAACAGCAACACGCTAACATGAAGACCTTGTTCTAAATTGCATATCACATTTTTTTACACTAATAAACCGGAGATTAGTAGTGCTTTGAAATCTACTGTACAAATAATTCTTCAAACACAAACTAAATTTACAATTAATAAATATTGGTGGAAACAAGTGATTGATGTGCATTCATATAAGAAATATAGCAGCATAAAATAAAATAAATGGAGTCGCAAATAATAATACGAATAACCAAAATGATTGATTATATAATTAATCGACATGACTAGAATAAAATCAATTCAATAGGGGGAAGTCAGTTGGTCGTACAGCGGTTATTTGGCCATCGATTTGATTCCAAAACAAACAGTCCACGACTACTACTTAATAGTTAATCATCACAACAATGTTGATCCACTTTGTCAAATAGTATAGAATCAAGATTCAATTGCGAAAATGACGAGGATAGTATATTTCGAATAATCAACAAGCTTAAGAATGATACCCAAACTAGAGATAAAAAAACACAACACTTAGAAATACCAAGGCGTTAATCGATCCCCAATTATCAGGCAGACAAACAAAACGTAGATTCTTCAAGAGCTGTGATAAACATCCAGATGTACACCAAATAAGGCATCAGTGATTAGTAAAAACAACAAGTGAGGTCGTTTGGTAACAATTACTGATTAAAATTGAACTTACTTTGAGTGGTGATTGTACCAAGCATTTATATAAAGAGAAGGAAATCAGAGTTAACAGTGACGAACTAATTCCAACTACTTCATAAAGAAGTTTGAAGTGTAGAAGACTGGATGGCGATTTACTGATCTAAACGTCAAGCGCTCGCATACACTCTGTCTTCCCTTAAACTAAGAGATTAAAATCGCTTCGTATCTTTCTTTCTTCCTGTACTATGTCCTTATTGCAATCTTTCTTTTATAAATTACCACCTCTGAATTAACTACTTTTGTGAATCCGGTGTTCATCTTGTTGCGTTAATGAGGTATGGCAACTTGGACCGATGCATATATGTGCCTGGTCCTACGTTGTAGTTGACTGACTGACAAGCGCTCTCACAGACCTGAAGGGCCTACGTTCGACTCTCAGTGGGGTCAAGGATGGATACTACTGAAGGGTCTCATCCTAGAACGAAACTTGTTCAGTGATTCCTGATTTTTAATAACTGCCTAACATAATTTAGTTTGTGACATACAAAATAAAATATTACATAACCCTTGGTTTTTCAGCTGACATCGATAAGCTAAATTTACCGCAACCATATAATTTAACTATATGGTAATCTATTTTCTAATATGCGAATCATTGTCAACTTATTAATAGTGTGTCACTTTCAACTATCATAATTTATCATTTTATAATTCTATCTCATTTCAGAATTGCATCCCAACTTTATCAACTAAATTATGTTAAACTTTTGTTTTTAATCATATTCCTATTCATAAAATTAGGTAGTTTGGAGTTGATAAGGAGTCTTAAAATAGAATACACATTTATTTATAATGTTACACCTAATCTGTTTAAAACTATCACCGTAACTAAATCTATGAAATCTATGATGATGTCGTTCAGAAGGACGATGAAAGCTCCACGACCAAACCATCCAGCTCAGAGAACTAAACTCCACCAAAATCATCCACCTGAGCTACAAATCTTCTCCACTATGAAAAACTAACATTTCTTTTCTGATTTTTTCTTTAAATTTCAGGCTGAATATTTGTTTTACAATAATCCTCAAGTTGATTAAAGTTTTTCAATATTCAATTAGATTGAATAAATAAACAAAATTACATCCCATGGAAATGAATAAATAATATCAAAAGAAGTTTAAAGACAAATGACCAACATTTACTTAAAAAGAAAAGAGAACTGAGAACTTAACCGTATAAGTACGAAACTTAAAATCTAAATCATTTTTATACTTTATGGTTATGACTGTAATGTTCTTTTGCCAGTAACTTTTACTAATAAACTTCTCAAAGTCATGAAAGAAATTATATTCATTATGGACTCTCAATAATGAATACTTAATAACAGAATTTTACAAACACTAGGGTGTAATTATTATTGCCAACTAATAATCTACAAGTTAATTTGTAAATAATTCTCATAATTTCCTGACTTTATATCTAGGTAACATATTATTCAGTGATGTCAGATCCTGTATTTTGAGTCGGTGCAAAAAGCTCACTATTCCCTGTTGGTTATACGTCTCATTATGCTATAATACTTGAGAGAAAAAAAAAGACATTTTAAGCTACTTAAAATACTTTCGTTTATTCATCATGGCTTTTGTTTAGTGATTATTACGCGGGAAAATTAAATTTCCATAGTTAGGATTTCAAGTAGTAGTGGTTTGTAGAGATTTAGTTAATTTCATCAGCGGAAGAACAGTGAAGAGCATGCACATACATTTATTCTTGAAGATGTGGTGTTGTAAATGACTGAGCTCAGGTATCTGGATAGGCAACCTGATAGGGAAGTTGCTGGTGTGGGAGACAAGATTGATTTCAGTGCCTCGGTAAAGACCACATCTAGTGATGATGAATCATGATTATTAAGGGCCAAACGTACAACGTTTTAATATGAGTAGCAATACTATAATTGTGAAAATTAACCTCCCATAGGTTAAGGAAGTCAGGAAGTTTTCCATTCAAATTCTGCTACTAAAACAATACTGCTTGTTTTCTGGCAGTAACATTATCTAAGTAATGCTGAAAATTATTAGCCTGTCTAAGCATAGTAGAGACTATCATTTGTCCGGGTGTTTTCGATGCGAACAGCGAATTCGGTGACTCAGAGGTGTTTTATAAATTAGCTCTTATATCAACCATTCCATGATGAACTGAATAAAAACATATAAGAGAACAGTTGCTTTGCGATATGGATCTGTGAAACACTACTTCTTGGGTAAGGATTATGAACATTAAGTAACTTAATGTTTTTTGACTTTATCAAGTAGCAGATATATGGATCTAAGAAAACAATAAGATGCTCATGTTCCCAAGGTCCGATTGTGTGTTGAATGTTTTGGTGTCTCAATTCACACACTTCATGTTAGATAAATACATTAATACAACTGATGTAAACCATGATAGATTATAAATACTAAGTGGACTGTTACAAAAACATTGCAGTTCAACAATATAAAGGGTTGTATTTTCAAAGCAAGAAAATTAATTACAACACTGTACACCAAAATAACGAATTTGGTCTATCGTTTCATTTCCCCGAGATTCTCTATTACGTCTTTATCAATCTACAAGACAAAAATAAATCGTTTGAACTTCATAGTCAGCAAGTAAAAGAATGAGGGCACCAAAACTTAGATTAAAGTGTTAAATAAAAATATTGTTGGATAGGTTTTGTATAGATATGTTTAGTTCCAAAGTAGTATACATCAAAGATTGATCTCAGCTGCGGAACTATAAAACCAGTGGGGCTCGCTAGTTGTTTCGCCCTGGCGTGGAACCCCTCAGCACTGCGCACCCACGATATTACCAGGGATCGAAATCAGAACTTTCAGAATTCTCAGTGAGCGACCTACCACTCGGTCAACTCCCAATGGTATGTATTTTTAACTCCGATCAATTCGTGATACAATGCAACAATCATCCAATGCCGTTGATGAGTACTGTTTTACTCCCGACATGTTTGAATTCCACCGGTCATAACGTCTCACCAATAATTCATAACTCCATCTCGAAACAAGTCACGAAAGGGTATGATTATAGTATGGGTCTTTTTCAATTGGTTTTCTACATTGCTCTAACTGAAAACAGTCAGTAAAGAATACCACCATTATATATAAACTCATAAGTAACAATGGGCACCTGTCCTTGATGTATATCGTCTGCGATGAGCTTAACCTAATGTAATTCATTTATCAAGTACTAGTTCGTTCTTAACGTGAGAAGTAGAAATAATGTTCGACTGGTGTACCCGAACTAGATGACAGAGGCATTTGAACTGTCTTAGTGGTTAAAAGTCGGATGATTTAACCACTAAGCTTGACAAATCCTAATGAAATTAATTCCTCATATGACTGAAAAAATTAACCGAATATAATGGTTTAGAATTCCTTGTAGGCAATAGTAAAAAGCATTAAGGGAAAGTAATAACCTCAACTACCATCACTTTTAAAATGACTACATAAGACTGATACTTTAAGCAGACATCCCATTAGCTAAGAGAATAATCATCCCTTTTCAAACTTTAGGTATTTATGTAAGAAAGATACTAAATTTCACGATATGAATAACCAGAAAGTTATCTGATTGCATATTTACGACAGAACAAAACAACCTTCTATTTATCGGCAGCCTCTTTTTGTCTTTCCCCTTTAATCATAATCATTATTTCTGTTGATAAACTTATCATTTATATATTCTATTCAAATTCTTATTCTCCAACTGTTAACCGTCCGAACCCGAAAATTCCAATCCATGCATTTAACAGTGTATTCTAATTTCCAACAACTCAAATCTTTGTTAATTCAGGCAGCAAGGCTGTTGAACGAACGGGAATATGTAGTTCTGATATATATAATTATTAGAGCTGTATTACTGGAACCAAAGACAGCTAAGAATTTAAGCATGTAAACAAAATGAAAAATATACACTATAAGCATGAAAGAAATGACGAATAGGATAAGAAAAGTAACTCACTTCTGGCCATTTTTCTATTAATACATTAATTAGCTCGTCTTTTACATCTCCCTGAATTACAATTTCATCACCATTCCCCGTTACTGAACTACCGGTTGCAAATTTGTGACCAAATACTTTCGAAGCTGCTTTCAGATCAATCCCTTAATTATGAAAAAAGGCCGATTGAGTTGTGTTTTAATTCGTCATAAAATTACTATTTCTTGATTGCTTTCGTCTTGATTGATAGTAGAGCATAAGGATCTATGGCTTCATTTAGTCACAATCGATGCCTAATGATCGAAGTCGGCAGCGGAATATTGGTATTCTACCGTGAATAGTTGGATTTAACAGTACCATTAATAAATTGCAGTATATGGCATCATTTATTCACGAATCCAATATAGATTTTCAATCATTAAGGTTGATAGTCAGGTCTTAATTTCCTTAGTGCTTTAGTAATGCAGAGGTTTGGCATCATGTGTTCGGGCACAGAGATGATAATGCAATCGATGTCACCATCTTGAAACACCGACTTCGGTGGCTTGGACATGTTCTACGAATGTCGTCCCAGAGAATTCCACGTCGTGCATTATTTGCCGACTCTGGGACTGGTTGGAAGAAGCGGAGAGGTGGTCAGTGTATGACATGGTGTCGTGGTATGAAGGAAAACTGCACAGGACTGGCTTGTGTTGGTCCTTCACGACTCCCTGGTTGGGGTCCGAGAGATGGTGCTACACAGTGGCTAGAGACGTTATCAGATATGGCTCAGAATAGAAGCCAGTGGCGATCCTGGTGTACCCTTCTTTTACTTTCTTCATAAAAAATGGTTATGTCTTCCCTAACTGAAAGATTTCTTCTGATTGTACCTTTCCGTTCCCCCCATTACTACTATTATTATTACTGTTATTATTATTACACTACTTTACACTTATCTATTCGTTATTGTTCTTTTTTTTCTCTTCGAATTCTCATTGTTTTGTGTGGCGCATATATATTGGCGCTCTCTTGTACCAATATTTATGTGTTCAAATAAAATAAAATAAAATGGTGCTTGAGTGATCTACGTAGTCTAAATCTTCTTATGGCTTGAGTTATAACTGACTTCTAACGAAACTCATTTTTCTGTCAATAACTCCTACTCAGGTTATTTCATTCGATAAAACATGTATTATTCTGTATAATGCCTTGTCTTTGAAATCAGTTCATTTGTAGGCTTTAGTTAGTAATACGATATTGTAAGTAGTTATCACGGCCACATCGTATTATCGTATTTCATCTCAGTCACCTAGTCAACAATGCAGAACTTCGTACGTACGTACGTACATCAGTTCAAGTTACCGTACCACATTAGCACAGAGATACAATTGTCGACTCAAATCCCATAGTGGAAGAGGTAACAAGAGTATAAGCAGTAATCGGAAACATTACGGTTTGAAGATGTTATTTAAGGAGTATAATCCAGTGAAATAAATTTGAAAAGACAAAAACATTCTATTTATTTTAACAACCGTTTTTTTAAATCATTAAACGCGAAACCACAACATTTCCGTCAAACTTAAGATGTAGTAACTTGGTGTACTTATGTCTTGAAACAAGTCGTATAAATGTTATTTATTTATTTAAAAACATAAACATTGGTACAATGAGGCACCAAATAGATATGCGCCATATGAATCATCCGATTTGCGTGAGGGCTGTGATACTGCCCGGGTGCCCAAACCGAAGTAGGTGGTTTTCTTAGGGGGCCACACCCCGAGCCTTCGACCTAAGGATCTGATTCACAAGACAGTAGAGCGACGTCAGGAGGTGCAGTCCCATGGTGGCCGGTGACCAACGATTGGTTAATACAACATTTGTTTTTTCACGATCCTGGATCCCATGTGCACCATTGGTTTGGAATAAGGGATTTTCAACTCCCCTTGGTGGACTCTCTGTGTCCACTAACCCGGTTAAAGCACCGGACATTCGTTTTTCGTCCTCTCAATTTCGTAAGCAACACCCCCGCCGCGAGATTTTATTTTATTTTATTTGAACACATAAATATTGGTACAAGAGAGCGGCAATATATATGCGCCACACAAAACAATGGGAATTCGAAGAGAAGTAGAAAGAAGAAAAAAAACGAAAAAAAAAACTAAGGAACGCAAAAGAAAAAGAGGGCAATGACGAAGAGGTACAATCAGAAGAAATCTTTCAGGTAAAGGAGACACAACCACTTTTTATGAAGAAAGTAAAAGAAGGTTACAGCAGGATCGCCACTGGCTTCTATTCTGAGCCATATCTGATAACGTCTCTAGCCACTGTGTAGCACCATCTCTCGGACCCCAACCAGGGAGTCGTGAAGGACCAACACAAGCCAGTCCTTTGCAGCTTTCTTTCATGCCACGACACCATGTCATACACTGACCACCTCTCCGCTTCTTCCAACCAGTCCCAGAGTCGGCAAATAATGCACGACGTGGAATTCTCTGGGACGACATTCGTAGAACATGTCCAAGCCACCGAAGTCGGTGTTTCAAGATGTTGACACCAATTGCATTGTCATCTCTGTGCCCGAACACACGATGCCGAACCTCTGCATTACTGACATGGTGTTGCCACTGAATGTCAGCAATCCTTCGGAGACAGCGATGATCGAACACAGAGAGTCGTCTAAAGTCCTCAACTCGGAGAGGCCAGGTTTCACAAGCATAGAGCAGAACTGCTCTCACCGACGCGTTGTAGATCCGACCTTTTACAGCCAGACTAACATCACGAAGGCGCCAAAGGTGGCCCAGATTGGCATAAGCCGCTCTGGCTTTCACTATTCGTGCATTGATCTCATCACTCACACCCCCACCAGCACTTATGCAGCTACCCAGATACACGAACTTCTCAACTACGTCTATCTGCTCACCGTCCAGGGTGAGTACAGGATTAGAATCCTGCCAGTCTTGTAGAAGTACTTTGCACTTAGAAGGTGCAAAGCACATACCATACCTACGGACATTGATTGCCAACTGATTAAGTGCGGATTGCATGCCTTGGGCATTATCGCACAGTAAGACAATATCGTCCGCATACTCAAGGTCGAGAAGTCTTTCTCCAGGCAACAGATCCACACCACCATTACTTACATTCATCAGAGCTGTTTCCAGAATGTCATCGATGGCAAAGTTGAAGAGGAATGGTGAGATTGGGCAACCCTGCCTAACCCCACTGCTCGAATGGAACAATGGAGAGAGGTGGTTGTATGCCCTCACTCTGCCTGAGGTGTTTTTATACAGGGCTTTTAGGATGTTAATAAACTTCTCAGGCACACCCTTCTTCAATAGACAATCCCAGAGAACAGTCCTATCCAACGAATCGAAGGCAGCCCTGATGTCAAGAAACACTACGATTGTTGGCCTTTGAAAAGTATGGCGGTGTTCTAACATTTGGCGGAGGGTGAAGATATGATCAATACATCCTCGACCAGAACGAAACCCAGCCTGCTCCTCGCGAGTCAATCTTTCTCGGGTTTTGAACAACCTACGAAGAATGACGGAAGCCAATAGCTTGGACGCAATCGGAAGTAAACTTATCCCCCGATAGTTGTTACAAGAACGACGTGAACCCTTTTTAAAGATAGGGACAACTATCGACTCATTCCATGACGTTGGTACACTCTCTAGTTCCCAAACCTTTGTAAACAACGTCGTCAATTCCTTAGTCAAAAAGTCACCACCATCTTTAAAAAGAGCCGGAGGTAAGTCATCTGGGCCAGGTGATTTGTAACGCTTCAAGAGTTGGAGTTCCTTGCGGACTTCCTCCTTGTTTGGTGGATCAGTCGTCACCGGCCATGGAGGGCAGGACAGTCTGACCGATGTTGCCGGAGCAGCAGGCCAGTTGAACTGCCCTTCGAAAAATTCTGCCCATCGTCCAAGACGTCGATGGATGTTAGTGATTGGCATCCCATCATCCTCGCAGATTGTTTCACTCCCACCAGACTTCTTGCTGCCAGTGGCTCGGATGAGTTGGAAGAGCTTCCGCTAGTTACCAGATGCAGCTGCTGCTTCCAGCTCATTAGCACGCATCGACCACCAGGCTTCTCGGTCCTTACGCAAGCTTTGCCCAATTTCCTTACATAACATCCTTCGTTTATGGTCAAACTCACGGTCACCCGGAGTAGACCGACGGGCTTCAATGAGTTGTAAGGAACCAGAAGAAACCCAGTGCTTAAAAGCGGGACGTTTCGCAAACCCACAACTGACTGTAACCGCCATTTTCATGGCGTCATGCAATTGCAACCAATGCTCATCTATACTTTTCGGTGGAGTGCTAGCTAGCCTAGAGGCTAGCTCGGTTCGATACTTACTTGCAACAGAAGTTGCAACCAGCTTGCTAACATCAATCCGTTGATGGCGTTCACTTCGTTGTCCACTGAAAAGTAAGGCAAGATTGGCGCAGACCAAGGCATGGTCAGAGTCCAGATAGGTACTCCAAAAGGAGCGGCAGTCTTGTACACAACCACGCCAGCGGTAGCTGATCGCGATGTGACCAATCTGAGTCCAGGCTTGAGATGCAGAGGGAGGACGCCAGGTGGCACATCGGCGATGACTGTGCCGAAAGTTAGTGCTAGCCAGAAACAGGTTGTGGTCTGTGCAAAGTTGCAGTAGACGGTCCCCGTTATCTGACCTGCGACCAACGAGTCCCCATCGGCCACCTAAACGACTCTCTTCTGTGCCTAGATGCCCGACCTGAGCATTCAAGTCTCCGGCTAGTACTACAATATCTGTCGAACGCACTTTCTGGAGAAGAACAGATAACTGGTGGTAAAACTCATCCTTGATTGCATCCGGGCTGCAATCTGTCGGGGCATAGGCGGAGATGACGAAAAGACATCGTTTCTCACGCCGATTTCTTCTCACTTTGATGGAACTTTCTAATCTAACAGCACATAACCGACTGTTAATGGGGATCCAATCGACTAGTGCCGCCTCAGCTCTAGTGCTTAGTGCGACACCAACGCCAGCAAGACCAGACGAAGATGCCACAGGGTCCCCGGATAAGCGCACGTAAAGCAAGCTTTTCGAAGCGACAGATGGAGATCGAATTTGTAGTACTTCGCCAGAGTCTTGAATACGGGTCTCGGATAGACAACACACGTCGATATTAAGACTTTCCAAAGACACAGCCAGCCCTATCTGTTGTCCGACCTGCATAAATGTGCGAACGTTGAAGGCAGCCAGTTTGAATGGTGCACGTGGTTTCAGAAAATCTGCTTCAGTCCTCGTATTCGGTGGTAACATACAATTTTCAACCGGACAGTGACTCGAGAACGTTCAGATACAGTCGGATTTCCACCAAAGACGAGCCGCTGTATAAGTATAAAAGAGGGTGAATAATGTGGAAAATAATAATAATAATGATAATAATAACAATAATGACAATAATAGCAGTAATAATAATATTAGTATTAATAATGACAATAATCTGAATCAATTGTTTGTTTTTCAAAGCGAGAAAGGTAATTTCCATAGGCATAAAGAGTTCATCAATTTGTGTGTGGGCTGTGATACTGCCCGGGTGCCCAAACCGAAGCAGGTGGTTATCTTAGGGGGCCACTCCCCGAGCCTTTGACCTAAAGGTCTAACCCACAAGGCAGTGGAGCATCGTAAGGAGATGCAGTCCCATGGTAGCCGGTGACCAACGATTGGTTCATACGCCATTCGTTCCCGCAGGATACTGGAGCTCATGTGCACCATTGATTTGGAATCCGGTTAAAGCGCCGGACATTCGCTTTTCGTCCTCTCAATTTCGTAAGCAACACCCCCGCCGCGAGAAGGCAATGAGTAAGACTTCCCTGGTAGTGGTTGTATACACGTGGCCATGTGAGAGCATTTCGAGAGAGCTGAATCTCCCCACTCTCAGCCGTACCAGGGCATTTGGGAGCAAAGTGAGAACCACTCCTGGGGTGAGAGTATGTGTAAATGACCAGGTAACTAGATTGGATAAGCAATTAGGCGCATAGTTACACAAGTTCCAACCCAAAATGTAAAATTAGGAGGTACTATCAAGATCACGGAAACCAAAATATATGTACGTTTCAGACATGTAACCCAGTGGTTGAAAATGGGATATTTAAATCAGCCAGCAACAAATCAACTGTATTTTAATCACTCTTGCTGTACATCAGTGTACTGACCGACGATATTAACTCTTTCAATGAACAGGTAAATGGTAACAACTACACATTGTTTTTAAGTTTGTACTTGTTATATCCTGATGAGAATAATGAATGGTAATTTTTGCGATCCATCTATGGATAAATACTATACGTATATTTTTATTGTATTATTTTTAAGCTAAACGATGCATATTCATGTTCCTCTTATTATAAGCTTTATTTGTACTTACAAAACTATTATTATACGATTTACCATTCTTGAGTTATACCCAGTCTATCAATTACTATCTCCCACATTCACAACTACTTTTGGTTAAATCTTGTACAAATGTTATTTTCTATTTCATGATACGATGTGGTCTGTCTGATTAGTATATAAACCCAGTATGTTTGAAATAAACAATTCACATCGCAGAGGCTGAGATTGGTGTTCTAAACTTAACAGGTTGGGCTAGGCAGGAAGCAAGACCGATAAGGACTCTAGACTGCTCGTACGGGTTTTATGCGTCATTGGTTCTATCGATAATTCATTGCTCTCTAATTGGTGGTAACATTACGTTGTACGTTGATAGGGACACAAACCCACAAGTTATAACAGTACTCATATGTTTACGCAAAATACTCTAGTCTGAGCCATGTTGGTAGATGCAGACTACTTGGTTGGGGTCCGCGTGACTATCGTAACCAATGGTTGGAGACTCTTGGTGACATGGCTCAGAATCGATCACAATGGCGTCGGTGTATATACTCCCTGTCTTCCCTTAAACTAAGAGATTAAAATCGCTTCATATCTTTCTTTCTACGAACCAATTCTTTCTTCTTGTACTATATCTCTATATGCAATCTTTCTTTTATATATTACTACCTTTGACCTAACCACTGCTATGAATCCGGTGTTCATCTTGTTGTGCTGATGCGGTATGGCAACCTGGACCGATGCACATATGTGCCTGGTCCTACGTTGTAGCTGACTGACTGACTGACGCAAAATACCAGCTTACCTATTACAAGAATAGCACTATAGCCACGAAACTAAAAACGACAGTTTTGGAATACCTACTTATCCGTGACGTCAACGGTTAATTGACTGATGTCATTTCGAAAGACAAAAGAAAAATTAGAAGTACTAAAACCTGTGATTTTATTGCTAAGAAGTTTTGAATTATCATCGTAATTAATGAAAATGTGCTTTATGTTAGAGGTTATCAATTCACTTGATATTCATTAACCATTCAGGTACTCATTGATGTTAAATGGTTGTGTCCTAAGTAATTTTGCCTGACTGATTGTCTTACACTTCACCTAGACGAAAGTGTTTCATTTCACTAACTTTGATAACCTGAATATCTTATTCCTCCGAGTATCGTTTAATTTAGAAATTAACAACAGTTACGAAAAATTAGTTGAATTAGTCTCGACTTGTTTCAGCACCATTTGACCAGCATTTCACATTGTGTTTGTAATAGCTGAAATCACAATTGTAATACCATTATATATTATTCAGCATTGCTTTTTCAATGCACACATCGACAAAACCGAAATATAAAAAACTGTTTAATTAAATACGAAATTAATGTTCGCGTCCGAAATACAAAGTCGATATACCCTCACAGATTTAATGGTTTACTCATATATGTGCACTATAAAATATAAACATGAGCCTACCAAATGTGGACAATCCAGTGACACTAGTCGTATATTTTTTCTTGCCTCTGGAAGTTTTAAATACTGCTATTTGTTGTTTTACTGGCTTTTTAGGTCCTCCTTTTCCACCCCTAACTTGACGTCCTTTAGGCGTTGCCTCAGTTTGATTTGAATCCACATCATCTTTAAAGTAAATGTACGACGAAAATTGAGAACGTACCAGTATTAAGTCGTTCAAACTCTTCAGGTAAATTTTTCTCTAACCATGCTCGACATTTTTCAGGAAATGGTGAAAATTCACAATACTCCAGAGGCATAGTGCATTCTGTATGAAAGTATTTCGTGAGCAAAAACACTAACCACCACAATACTTAATTGTTAAAGGATATTCAACATCAGGGTCCTGCCTCGCTCGCGGCATGTACTCATAGTTCTCAGTCATTACAGTTCCTGTTAAAATAAAATTATGAACTAATACAATAAAAAATACGAAATTAACGTATGGTATTAGTGCTTTTGATTTAGACGTTGTAAAAAGTCGATTGATTGCCAGTCAAAAACGTAATTATCACTTTGAATTTTGAGCTAACTCCTGACGGAAAGAAACGTTCACCATAACTGTTCAAGAATTGCTTATGAATACTTAAAATTCCCATGTATTTGATTCGCAAGCACCAGTACATTAGTTTAAACATGCCAAACCTGTTTCGATTCGAACCACTGGATCTAGGTAGATAGATAAAGGATGGAACTCGTAAGAAAAACCTTCCTCTGGGATTTGGTAACAGAATTATTTAGCCAACACATATACAACCAGGCCTACATCTTGTCTGGTTTACCTGAGTTTAAATTTAGTGGTAAGTTTATCTTAATGTTATAATTTAAATGTATTAGTCAAGCTAATGTCGCATTGATTATTAAGTACATAGATGTATTTTGCACTTATGAGCTCTAAAAGCTTGAAGATTATCAGGTTTATTGGTACTCCTCAACAAACTAATGATACGCCACCACCTGGAAATAACTAGTCATTCTTCACTGGTATTTTTACTGGTTCATCCCCACACGTACCACTGATATTCCACATTAAAGTGAGCTCCTAAAACTGTTTCGGATGTTGAGTATATGAACCGTTAAGCCAAATGAAAAATAAATTGTATTATAAGAGGCGATACTAACTTATCGACGAACCAATCAGATTTAAAATAGCAGGACTCAGATCTTGGAGTGAAATTCATGCAACCATATGACAGAATAACATGTTAGCATTACAGATCGTTAATTCGTGGCAAAAGCTGTAATTTTAATTTCTAACGTCTATTGTAAATCCTAATTCCTCTCAATAATTGACGGTCTTCATTTTACCCTAGTAAGTTGGTCAACACCCCCAAAACCAGTTACGCGTCACTCGAAGGTCGTCCATAAAATATGGTCTCACGCGAAAACGTGCTTAAATATGATATTAAATGGTAAAATGTAGGTGAAAGGATCTAGGTTTTCTTCTAATGCAGGCCAACCAAACACCTAATAGCTTTACAAACTAGTCCCATGTCTTTACTTTCCCACTCAGGAGTCAACAGAATTTGTATCTTTACTACTAGTGTCTTAATGAAAACTATGGGCACAAACTTCATTTTAGCCGAGTAAAAATGCCTAGTAACAGCTAGTTGTGTTCCCTCTAATGCAAGTCCACCTGCCGAAACTCATTTAACTAAAGCGCTTCTTACTCTTTGAGTTTTGCTTTATCCGAACGCATACAACCGTTGTAATTATTGGCTAGACTTGGAGACTTGGGGGATATCGTTTAAGGCCGAAAAGTCTGTATAGAGAGGTTATATAGGCCATCACAACACATCTATTGGGTACATTTTACGTAATACACTCAAGAAACTTCAGAGAAATTTAGGTGACAAGCATACCATGTTAAGTTACATAACTTTGGGTTAGATTATGCAGTTTATGTCTAATTCACTTTAAGATGTCAACTTGCTGGTTCACATTAAATTGTTTTGAATATTTAAATGGTGAGGCATCTTGATTCAGAGTCAGCATAAAACCAACCTTGAAGTGGACACGCACACTAAAGACTTACAACCAAAGCAGCAACACAACAGGCGAACACCGCGCCCGGACTAGGACGTAACTTCAAACCATAAGCTTTACATTAGAGAGTTAGCTAACAGTTTGTTCTTAGGGAACTGCTCCTAATTCCTATTTATGATGAAAACTTGGATTGAAAGGATGATTTCTCGGTCATGTATTTGAATGACTTGTAGATTGATCCTGTAAAAAGCGGAGTTACCCAAGGTACAATCCTTGATCCTCTTCTCTTTTTACTTTATGTAAATGAATCACCAACTGCAGAAAAGTAATCCGTTCTACTCTTCGCTAATAACATAAAGAATAGTATAGAATAGTATAGTATATCCATGTGAAAGGACTTTTATGTTGAAGATTTTTGGTTTCCAGACTTAGCAGCCTGTTGAATACTTCAAAAGATTCAATAGTTATGTAAAATCTGTTACGCTATTATTTTCCTTTCCGAAAGACTATCTATCTGCAATCACTGCTCTTGGCTGGCTGAGAACTGGCTGAAACATCATTGGGATTGTCTTAAGCTGTTTCCCGTATTCTGACTATTTTATTCATTGAGCTTAGTACAGATAGCCATAATGGTTTGTGAATATCCTATCGTTAACCCTGAACACAGAGTTCAAAGGGTTCAAATGGTTGTGGACGGAATAGAAGCTTTCCCTAAACAGGCTCTCGTTTCTAGTAGCAGGGGATCACTAAAACCTTGTAGCGGTAAATAAATCCCCAAAATAAATAGCACTAAGTTTTCGACATTGGAGGCTGACCATATGTTTTAGTGGACTCACCTAGCTGAAGGCGCTCGGTCAGGCATCTGCACCAGATCACGTGTGGTAACGCCGTGCTCAACATCAACCGCAATCGCTAGCCAGATTAGATCAGAGAATTCCGATATATTGGTCATCGCCAAATATACTCTTCCGATCTCCTCGACTCTGTCTTTTGATTTCTCTGGGCGGGAACGAAATATATTAGAAGGTGTTACTGGTAGAAGCGTTGTCAAACACTGAATACCTGTGACATCATCATTGGTGAAACCGACGTGATCTGGTACACCTAATTGCAACTGTGAGTCTGTTCCTTTTTGGGATTTTTATATATCATCGCCTTATTTTTTTTTTAACTTTTTTAAACATTGTGATTTTTTTTCGTGTTTTTTCCTGGATATATATATTTTCCCCTTGTTCATTATCGTACTTCATACTTCATCATGACTGAACAGACACCTAAAGTACGCAAGCTTAAGACTTTGTCCCCGCCTTCGTTTCAACTGATGCCTTTCTGGCCCGACAACATCGAAGCCTGGTTTTGCTACGCAGAAGCCGACTTCTCCGAGCACGGCGTGATCGACACACGTGCACAATTCCTCGCAGTAGTCAAGGCACTACCGCGCGAATTCAACAGGTACGTAACACCTAGTATGTTTACTAGTGATGTTTCCGATCCTTACGAAATCTTAAAACGCTCGATTCTTAAACGAGGAGACCTAACCGATCGACAAAGGTTAGATCAACTCTTCAACAATATCGACCTGCAACATGGTTCTGCGACAGACATGTTGCAACGGATGAGAGAGGTAATAGGCCCAAGAACTTTCGACGAAGGCCTATTCAAACAACTCTTCTTGTCAAAACTTCCCCAACAGGTGCAAGCAGTTCTGGTCTCGTTCCAGAACAATGCCTTAGACGAGCTAGCTGCATCTGCCGACCGCATATTAGAAATTACGAAATCTACTACCGAGGTATTTTCAGTCAAAGAAAAACCTCAAACGACTCAGAATGATATAAACGACTTATGTCACATACTCACGCGTTATCTTAGTCTTCGTACCGACCGTAAGAGATCGCGCACACCACGTAGAAGCATTTCTCGTAAGCGATCTGTCTCTAGACCACGAGAGACAGATAACCCCGACTGGTGCTGGTATCATAACCAGTATGGAAAGCTTTCCAGAAATTGCAGAAAACCCTGCAATTTTCCCAACACGAAACCGACTGATTCGAAAAGCAATTCGGGAAACTTCCAAGCCGGCACGCGTTAACGGCAACCGTAGCCGGCGAACAAAGCCGTCTGTTATTCGTCACAGATGTGACAACGAGAGTTCATTACCTCGTCGACACTGGCGCAGAAGTTAGCGTTCTCCCAGCAAATCCTAACGACCGACTACACGAATCGACCCTAAACTTACAGGCGGCAAACGGAAAACCGATCGCTACGTATGGCAAAAGGTACGTTTACCTTAACGTGGGTTTACGCAAACCCATCCACTGGATTTTCGTTGTTGCAGATGTTTCTATGCCAATCATTGGTATGGACCTTCTACAACACCACAATCTGATCATCGACACTCGCAAACGGAGGCTAGTAGACGGAAACACTAATTTGTCCGTTTGCGTAACTTCCTTTACTGGTTGTAGAGTATCCCCAGTCACAGTTAAACATATGATAGACCCACTCTATCAACCACTACTCGATAAGTACCCTGGGATACAACAAACTCAACCGAAACTACCGTGTGTAACCAGCAATGTTACACATCACATCACGACTACAGGACCACCTGTATTCTCTAAAGCACGACGACTAGCTCCTGAAAAGCTAAGGTTAGCGAAAAACGAATTCGATCACATGATGGACTTAGGAATCATACGACCGTCAAGTAGCCCATATGCATCTCCGTTGCACATGGTCCCTAAAAAGGACAGCAACGATTGGCGTCCAACTGGTGACTATCGGCGATTGAACGCGAAAACCATTCCCGATCGTTACCCGTTGCCTCACATTCACGATTTGACAGCTACCTTGAAAGGTACAACTGTCTTTTCGAAAATCGACTTGGTTAAAGCGTATAACCAAATCCCTATGGCTACTGACGACATACCGAAAACAGCTATCATAACTCCTTTCGGACTCTATGAATTTTTGCGAATGCCTTTCGGTCTAAGGAATGCTGCTCAAACATTCCAAAGATTCATAGACGACGTTTTTCGAGGTCTCAACTTCGTACACGCGTTTGTTGACGACTGTCTAATCGCAAGTCCGGACAGAGAGACACATCTCAAGCATCTGGATCTTGTTTTCGAACGACTTCAAAAACATGGCATAACTGTAAACGTTCAGAAATGCCAATTCGGAACCGACTCGTTAGACTTCCTAGGACACACTATCGATGCTCAAGGCATTCGACCTCTTAGGACCAAAGTGGCGGCCATTCTGGATTACCCAGAACCGACCACCGTCAAGCAATTACGCACGTTTAACGGCCTGGTAAGTTTCTATAGACGTTTCATACCGAAATGCGCATTGCTTATGAAACCTCTGACCGACCAACTTCGTGGAAATGCGAAATCCATTAATTTGGACGACACCGCACGAAAAGCATTCTCCACAGTTAAGGAACTGATTGCTAAAGCAACAATGCTCGCACATCAGGACACCCGAGCACCCATTAGCATCGCAGTAGACGCATCCGACTCGGCAATCGGAGGAGTCTTACAACAATGGGTTAACAACTCCTGGCAACCCTTGGCATTTTTCTCTAGAAGGTTGCTAGACACCGAATCGAGGTACAGCACATTCGGTAGGGAACTCCTAGCTATGTATTGCGCTGTACGGCATTTCCAACACCACATCGAAGGTCGTGAATTCACTCTTTTCACGGACCATAAACCGCTCACTTTCTCGTTAAGCTCTCCTTCTGACAAGTACTCTCCCCGTGAGTCTCGACAACTGGACTACATTTCGCAGTTTACTTCAGACATTCAACACATCTCTGGAGCAAACAATGTAGTTGCAGACGCTTTATCTCGCATAACTTCCTTGAACAGTTTCCAAGGAATCGACCTTCTTAAACTCGCCGAGCTTCAAAAAGAAGACAGTGATCTTCAGCACGAGTTATCGTCCACAACACTTAAACTACGCATCAAACAGATGGGAACAGGTAAGGAAACCTTACTTTGTGACACATCTACAGGTAGGGATCGCCCAATCGTGCCGAAACATTATCGACGCAATGTCTTCAACGCATTGCACAAACTTTCTCATCCAGGTGTTCGTGCAACCGTCAAGCTTATAGCAGAAAGGTTTTGCTGGCCTGGCATGAATAAAGACGTGAGGGAGTGGGCACGCTCCTGTGTAAGCTGCCAAAAATCTAAGGTTATCAGACACAATAAATGTCCCTTAGGCTCGTTTAAAACTCCCGATGCTCGTTTCGACCATGTTCATCTGGATTTGGTAGGACCTTTACCAGATTCAAATGGATACTCTTATCTCTTAACCTGCGTAGACCGTTTCACTCGATGGCCAGAAGCAGTACCTATCAAGGACATCACTGCTGAAACAGTGGCCCGCACCTTCGTCGAACGATGGGTAGCAAACTTCGGTTGCCCTTCAACCATCACTACAGACCGCGGACGTCAGTTTGAATCCGATCTTTTCCGTCGTCTGACCACACTTTTAGGAATCACTCGATTCCGAACGACCGCCTACCATCCACAAGCAAACGGGTTGGTAGAACGTTTTCACCGACAACTGAAAGCTTCGCTATCAGCTGCAAACGTTTCACAGTGGACCGACGCTCTTCCACTCGTCTTACTAGGTATCCGCAATGCAGTGAAAGCTGACATTGGATACACTGCGTCTCAACTCGTTTATGGTACGACACTTCGACTTCCAGGAGAATTCGTGGATCCTTCATCCTCTTCAATGAACATGGATCTAACCTCCTACACGAACAGGCTTACAAACGCAATGCGTTCAGTTAAACCTGCTTCCACTCGACCTCAATCAACTGATGTTTTCATTCAACCTGACTTACGATATAGTACACACGTTTTCGTTCGTCGAGACTCGCATCGACGACCCTTCGAATCAGCATACGAAGGACCCTTCAAAGTTCTTCAACGTGAATCTAAGTACTATATAGTCGATAAGAACGGAACCAACGATAGCATCAGTATCGATCGCTTAAAAGCAGCGTATTTAGAAGGAAATCCTATCTACGTGGATTTTCCTTCGGTACAATCG